GAAAGAGCTGGAAAGCAGGTACAGCTTGGGCTGTTTGCTGTTTGCTCTGCCCTAGCCCATGCCAGCACTGGGGTCCCGCTGGGAGGGATGCTCCCCAAGGCCCTGCAGCCCCCCTGGGTGCATCAGCATTAAGCACCTGGCTGCAAAGCGGATCCTGGAGCAGCACACCCTCAGTGGCCAGACCAGCCGGGCACAGTTGCTGGCACACAGCTTGCTGGTGTCATTGCTTTGTGCTGCTTCATGCACCATGATGTGGCTCCTTTACTGCTACGTGTCCCTTGCCAGAGAAGGGGGGAACCCAGGCAGCCCTGCTGCCCACCATGGTATGGGGCACACAGTAGAGCAAAGTGGTAATAATTCCCTCAAGGAATTAATTCATATTCCATTAATTTAATATTATCCCCCAACTGCTCCTCATGCCAGACACTGGCCCAGGTGGGGAAACTGAGGCATGGGGCTGTGTGTGTGTGAGAAATGGCTGTGAGCAGCATCTGCCCCTTGGGCTGACCTCACCCCAGGCTTTCTTGCAGGGCCAACACCGTCCCTCTTCCAGGCTGGTCTTTGCTGGCATCTTGCTGAGATAGGCTTGGCAGGATTTGGCTCAGAGAGGTCTGAGCATCATCGTTAGGCAACATTGGTGGTCGCTGGGGGTGCTGAACACCCCATACGGATCCTGTTTGCATCCCCAGCACTCATGCTGCAGGACGTCTTCAATACTTGCTGCGTTCTTCACTGGGAGGGGATATCACCAACCCCCTGCTTGGAGGCTGTGAGGGGCCTTGGGTATCATCTCGGGGTGGGAATGGGCTCTGCTCCAGCCTGGCTCTGCTGCGTGCTTACCAGCATGGGCTGGGGGCAGGACCCCCCTTTGAAAGCCCAAGTTTTCCTGCTGTGGTCCTGCATTGATGGTGTTTGGGGTCCATATGGTCCCTTTGCCATTCCCTATGGGACACCCATTGCCCCAGTGGTGTCCCCACAGGTCTCTCAGTCCCACTGCTGCCCCCCATCTTTGCCTCTCCAGGCTTTTGCTGTCTCCTGGCATTCATTACCTGTAATTACAGCACCAGTCCTCAGCACCCCGTGGTGCTTGGCTGCTCTCTCCCTGCCCCGCAGGGGCTCTGCAGCCCCCAGAGCTGCACTAGCCCTCTCCCCTCTGCCTCACACCCTTCCGGTGGGCTCCCGGGCAGACCGTGGGGTGCACCTGGGCACCACAGTGGGGAGAGAGGCGGTGAGTGGCCTTTGGCCCCGGCCGGAGCTGGATGTGTCGAGGTGGGATGGATGAAGCAGGATGGAGGGGGAAGGGAGGCGGTGGTATGTGTGGAATGTGCCCGGAGCAGATAACCCCTTCCCGCTGGGTGCGGTGCTGAGCCCACCTCCCGGGAGTAGCTGGGGGCTGCTTTTGTGCAGGGAAATGGAGAATGCCAGGGAGACCCATTGCCCCGGGAGCTGGGCTGGGGAGAGCCCTGCCAGAGCAGGAGGGACATGGCTAAGCTCTGAGCACCACGCTGAGGCACCCATCCCCATGGGACCCCCGGACTGATGGCGTCAGGGGGATGCTGGGTGCTGGGCTTGGCATCTCTCCCTGTGCCAGGGACACAAAGGGGATAGGCAGCAAGCAGGTTTGGGGATTTGGGGGCTGAGGGTGTAGGCAGTGTGCCCTGCCTCCAGCCTGTGGGCACAGCCCTGTGGGAGGGGTGCCAGGGAGCGCTGCTTGCTCGTGTGACTTCCCAGGGGACTCATTAGTGCCCGAGTCTTGCCTTTCCCCATCTCCAACCCTGCAACCACCTTGTCTCACTTTTGTCGAACTGTGTGACAGCCAGGGAAACTGAGGCACAGGACTGGAGGTGCCAGGAGTTGTGTCCCTGCCTCTGCTTCCCACCCCTGGCTCTGCCTGTCCCCAGCCCTCACGATGCCCCTGCCCCTACCCTGCCCATAGGTACCACCCCAGCCGCCAAGATGTCCAGCAAACGTGCCAAAGCCAAGACCACCAAGAAGCGCCCCCAGCGCGCCACCTCCAACGTCTTTGCAATGTTCGACCAGTCGCAGATCCAGGAATTCAAGGAAGCCTTCAACATGATTGACCAGAACCGCGACGGCTTCATTGACAAGGAGGATTTGCATGACATGCTGGCTTCCCTTGGTGAGGAGATCCTCCACTTGTCCCTCAGCCCCTCTGCCCTCAACACCCTTCAGCGAGCGGGGAGAGCTGCTGGGTGACCTCATGCCTCACTTCCAGCTTTGGTGGGATGCCACTGAGGCACAGCCCTCCTGCATGGGGCCAGCCTCATGCTGGCTACAAAATCTGTAGGGGGTTTTCTGCTGGCACCAGCTGATCATAGAAGATGCATTTGTGGAGGCACCCAAGGGCAGCAGCTTGGTGTGTTGCTCACTAGAAGGGAAGAGACCCTTGGGGTCGGAGAAGCTCTGCCCTAGGAGCAGCCACCAGCTGCAGCCATTGTGTATTTGAGTCGTCTCACCCCAGAATATCACCTGGGGTTGTCCCCTGTGGCGCAAAGCCCTCCTGTGGCTCTCAGCCTTGGTGACAGAAGAGGCCAATCCCTGCATTATCATGATACCTTGGCCGGTTGAGACTTGCAGGTTTGGCCGCAGTCCCCACCCAGAGCCCATTTCCTTTGCTGCAGGCCACGGCTCCCACCTCTCCGCTCCCCGTGGTACCTCCACAGCACTTTGGGAGGTCTGTCAATGATTGACCTGGCAGCCAAACCTGTTCTGGAGGTCCTGCCTGGCTGTGGGAGGGATGTCCCTCCTCCCTGTGAGCTGTAGCTCTGGGAGCAGAGAGGGGCTGGACGCTGGGGGCACACAGACCTCAGCAGGGGAGGTTAAACCATCCCTGGTGCATCCATGGTAGGAGCAGTGCTAGGGACATCAGCAGCACGAGGCTTGTGTTGAGGACATGAGGCTGGTGTTGAGAACACGGCTCCCCCGCGGGTGGTGCTGGGTGTCAGCTGTCAGGAACTAGGAAAAGCTGTGGCTTTAGTTCCTGGTAACCCCCATGTGAATTCCTGCATTTCCTTCGAGGCTGAGCCTGTCAGAGCTTGGTTCCAGGAGGGTTCTGACATGGATTAAAGCATGGGGGATTGATGCTGAGGGGTGAGCACCGGGCACCGCGGAAACACCTTTCCTTTGTTCGTAGGGTGGGTGAGCACGCACAGCAAATTAATTTGCAAAGAAAAAAAAACAGATGACTGGGTACATGGTCTGGCCTTGGGGATGGGTGCTTGGGGGGGGAACAGGGCCCTGCACCCACACCCCTGCCTGTGCCCTGCAGGGAAGAACCCCACTGATGAGTACCTGGAGGGCATGATGAGCGAGGCGCCAGGGCCCATCAACTTCACCATGTTCCTCACCATGTTTGGGGAGAAGCTGAACGGCACTGACCCGGAGGACGTCATCCGCAACGCCTTCGCCTGCTTTGATGAGGAGGCGTCAGGTATGGGCACTGCCTGCACGGCCCTGTGCTCTGCCTGGGCACACTGTCCCCCTGGCATGCTGCCAGGACAAGAGCTGGGGCCAGATCCATGGGGGCACTCACCTAGCAGCTCCAGAGTAGGAGAGCTGGGCAGGGGTGTCTTTGGGAGAGGTCCTGCTGCTTGGCCCTCCCAGTGTCCCCTGCTAACACCACCCCTGCCATTCCTGCAGGTTTCATTCACGAGGACCATCTGCGTGAGCTGCTGACCACCATGGGAGACAGGTTCACTGACGAGGAGGTGGACGAGATGTACCGGGAGGCGCCCATCGACAAGAAGGGCAACTTCAACTACGTGGAGTTCACCCGCATCCTGAAGCATGGTGCCAAGGACAAGGACGATTAGAGCCCAGGGCCGCTCACCCCCTCTGCCTCTTCCTGCACACCCCCTCCACTCCTCGGCCCCCCTTGCTGCCCCACAGCAGGCTCCTCCCTGGGAAACCCCCCAGGACCAGCACCCTGCATCGGGTCATCTTGGAGGGGATGCTCTCCTGTCACTGCGGCACTGTGTGTACATCCATCAGCCCCAGACCTCCCCTCCCATCACCTCTCCTACCCACAGGCTCACTTCGCTGAGATCCCCAGCCTGGTTCTGACCCCACCCAAGCAGCCGGTGACCCCCTCAAAGCCACCGGGCCTCTGGTCCCTGGTGAGCATCCGTGGACAGCACTGGCCTGTGGAGATTTTGGCTGGCTTGAGCCTGAGTGATCCACATCTTGAGGCTGCAGCACGGAGAGAAAGCATCTCTCCCCTCTCTTTTCGCGCTCCCTTCCTCCACAAATGAAAACCCACTTTGTTTCCTCCTTCCTGGCTGTTTTATGGCTTTAGAGCCTGTGATTGGAGGAATTTGGAAAGACAAAGCGGCGTATAAAACCTGATGGGTGTGATACGGAGATGTGTGTGGCTCCCTTGTGGTCTGGAGCCATGCCGTGCCGCGCTGCCCACCTGCCTGGTGGGTTTGAGGGAAGAGTTTGGGCACTGCATCTACCCATCTTGCTCTCCTTGCCAGCCAAAGCCCCTTCCAAATGAGGCAGCCTGATTTTGAAGCCAGATCTCTCCCAGTCCATGTAAAATCAGCATGAGCATAATTTTCCACCTTTGCTGGCGGGATAAGGGTTGTTCTGCTTGGCCCCTGCATTGGGCCAGGCACACCACCATGACAGGGGTGGGAGAGCATGGGGGGTATCCTGCCTTGCAAAGCTACTGTCTTAAGTGCTGCATGAAGTCAGCCCATCTCCCTGCCCTGGAACCACAGAATGGTTTGGGTTGGAAGGGACCTTAAAGATCATCTAGTTCCAACCCCCCTGCCATGGGCAGGGACACCTTCCACTAGACCAGGTTGCTCCAGGCCTCATCCAGCCTGGCCTTGAACACTTCCAGGGATGGGGCATCCACAGCTTCTCTGGGCAACCTGTCCCAGTGCTGCCCACCCTCTCTGTGAAGAACTTCCTGATATCTAAGCTAAACTTCCCCACTCTCCATTTAAACCTGTTACCCCTTGTCCTGTCACTACAGGCCCTTGTAAAAAGTCCCCCCCAGCTTCCTTGTAGCTCCTTCAGGTACTGGAAGGTGCTATAAGGTCTCCCCAGAGCCTTCTCTTCTCCAGGCTGAACAAGCCCAACTCTCTCAGCCTGTCCCCATAGCAGAGGGGCTCCAGCCCTCTGAGCATCTTCGTGGCCTCCTCTGGACTCGCTCCCACTGGTCAATATCCTTCTGATGTTGGGGGCTCCACAGCTGGACGCAGCACTCCAGGTGGGGTCTCACCAGAGCAGAGTAGAGGGGCAGAATCCCCTCCCTCGCCCTGCTGGCCACACTTCTGATACAGCCCAGGATACGGAAGGATGAGTTTCCTGCATTTCTTTAAAATGGGGGGAAATGTGATGACAAACCCATAGAAACTGGTGAGGGTACAGTGCATGCTGGAGATGCTCCCAGCGCACTGGGAAAGCATGGACGGTGTTGGTGGGAGCTCCATGGGCACATGCTGCTGGGATCAGAGGGGTCAGCAGCCCGATCCGTGAACAGAGACCTGCCAGGCTCTCCCCTGGGAGATGACCCATAGTTAAAAAACTCCTTGGTTCTCAGTGCTTCTGTTTCTCAGGCAACACCGGCATCGGGAAAGATGAACTAAATTATCAGGGACATAGAGACGTGAAGGTCTGAACACACGCTCCCCTGGGGAGTTCCGCAGGGTTATGGCTCGTGCCATGCAGCAACAGCCCCAAACCAGCCCACCTCCAGGCTCGCAGATGTCAAGCGCCTTCCCGAATTGCCTGCTGTACCAGGAAGAAACCTACAGTTCTCCCAGAGCAAAGTCCCAGGCCTGAAGGGCATCCTGCCAGGGGGCAGGATGCTTTTTAAAAATCCGCCTTCACTTGCACACGCCGAAGTGACTATCTCACCGATGTCACTTTGGGGCAGATGGGCTGATGCTGGATATAAACAGTGTTGTGGGAAAGGGCGTCCAGCTTCTGCAAGGTCCTCGCTGCTGCAGGCAAACTGGCTTCTGGAGGCAGCTGCACCCAGCATGATGTTCAGCCCCACTGACCCCAAATGATCAGCTTGTGTGACCAGCCTGAGTTCTCCCAGCGTAGGGAGTGGGATGGACTTGGTGGCTGGCCACCACCAGCTGCGGTCACTGCTGGCCCCCAGCAGAGAGCTGCCAGAGGCCCCAGGGTGGGCTTTCAGAAGCAATGTCTCAAGCAGCTGCTCAAGCTGCTGTGTCTGAGCTGCCCCTTCGCCAGCATGGCTGTGGTTACACTGCAGGACTCTCAGCAGAGGCCATCCTTCACCTCAGACACCAGCCAACGAGAGGAACTTTGTTAGTGGACACTGGGGTACATTTGGGAAGAGTATGGCCCTTGCAAAAGAAAGTCCTGCCTCCTCCATCTCCTGGAGCTCTTTGCAGGTGGATGGAGAAGTTACTTGGGTAGACTGAAGTTAGACTTCAGAAGCTGAGTGAAAAGCACCAAAATGCAGGTGCAGATCTAGGTGAATTGATAGAAAGTGAAGCACATGGGGAAGATCAGCCTTCCTGGGTGAGCCAACAGGCTCCAGGTGCCCTGAGACAGCCCCAAGGAAAGGCTGGAGCTCATCAGCTGTCAAAATCAAGAAAAAAAGGAGAAAGAAAACCACATGCTAGAAATTACTAAGAAAGAAAGATTAAAAGAGAGACCACTGTTCAGCTATTGTCCAGGTCTTTTATCCCCCACACCTTGAATATAAAAAAGAGATGGAGCCAAACCGTGACCCAGGAGTGTCACTGTGGGCTCCATCCTGATGTGCCCAGAGCACCTTGGCTCCTTTTTCCATGGCCAGTGATGCAGGTTATGGAAGTATCAGAGAGGCAAAGGGCAGTACTCAGTAAGAGAGAGTCTGCCCTCTCCTCTGATCCATGGGAAGGGCAGCAGAGCTGCCTCGCAGAAAGGGGCAGGAGGAGATGGAAGGGTCGTGGTGCCCAGGCCTGGGGAGCTGTGCTGGAGCCAGGCAGAGCCGCATGGCGCTGGAGGTGAAGCAGCGCATGTGACAGCTGGTGTGGGCTGAGCCCTGGCCTGCGGGCTGCGCCATGAGCAGTCGGACACCCGGTGTTTGTGCAGAGCTCTTGTTCCCAGCTGGTGCCCAGGCAGCACGCACTGGCCCTTACCAGCACTCTTACGTGAGTTAGTCTGCTCGCTTTTAAACCTTTAAGCTTGCTTTTAAGTCTCTGCCAGAGGTGGGTGAAGGCGCACACCAGTCCCAAGCTCCTACTCCATCCCTGAGGGAAGGACAAACCCAGCTCCCATTTCCCTCCTAATTAGCACCACCACGACTCCATCCCGAGGCCGTGGAGCCTTGGCTCTGGCAGAGTAAGGCAGGCTGTGAACCAGTGAAACAGCCCTGTTAACATGGGTCCTGGGCCCAGTCCTACTGGGGGAATCCCAGACTGCCAGGAGTCTGGTGGCCCTGAGCAGGGGGCAGGACCCCGCTGCTGGAGAGTCAACGGCCCCCACAACCGACCACAAATCCTTTTTTTTTTGCCAAAAATCCAGATTAAATATCAGAGGGTGGGCAAAGGGTGGAGGGAGTCCTGCCTGGGACAGGTCACTGCCCTCGGAGGGTGCCTGTGGTTTCCAGCACCCCCCTTTGGGCTCTTACTGGCTGATTGTTTTTCAAATTGCTCCAGTTTAATGGTATTGTCATGTCAATGGGCCTGGCCAGACTCTTCAGGGCCGG